GCCCCAGTCTACAGTTCAGATGATGTTGACAGATTCCTGTGTGGAATCATGGAGCAGGAGATTTAAGTCTCTGGACCCTGGTTCCAGCTGGGCTCTGAGGTGATGCTAGGTTTCCTGGTGGAAAGTCAGGAAGTTAAAATTTTCAGTTTCTTGCCGAAACAAATTCTTTGGGACTGAGTTCTGTGCTGCAGAAATATGAAGAATGACTTTTGCTTTAGTCTTCATCTACTGTGATCTGAACAGAAAGTGTTGTGTAAAATAGTTCCCAAACATAGCTATTCAAGAAGATTTGAGAGTGTTATAACAGTTTGGAGTACAATATATAGCTAAAGAGATGTTTGAAATATCCCCAAACGAACAAACCTCAGAAAATGCAACCCTAAGGTTACATTTAAAAAAAAATGCCAGTGCAAAGTAATTTAAACCTCAAATAAGACTCCCAAACACTTAAATATGCCATTTGGATGAAGCCATGCAGCATATGTATAATTGTGATGATGGAATTACACTGTTGGAATAGTAAACAGTCATAAATTAATTTTTTAGTTCCATTTTTTTCCTCCTCTATTCTCCCTTTTCTGATAGTGTTACAGCATTCAAATGGATACTGACCCTTTGAACTTACCAGCTTTGCATACAGATGCTGCCTAGTACTATTTATTAAAAAAAACAAGATAAATTGTTAGCAGTATTCACTTTCTTAGAGATTCAACCAATTATTTGTCATGCCCAATAAATAGATCAGAATGAGAAAAAAATACCCAATGTAGAATGAAAATGCACCTTGCAAGCAGCTACCATATGATATGATATTGATAAGATGTCATATATCATATCAATCATATATCAATCATATCATATCCTTTGTAATAGTCTAAGGCTCACGGCCATGTAAGAGCTAATTTATGTGATTTTTAAGCACACCTCAGTGTCAATTTGCCATTCAGTTATTCTGTGTCCCATTAGCACATCCTTGGTAGAAGCTCTGAGGAAGTTCCAGGTGTGCAAAAACATTCTGACATAGTCTTGCTGTTTTAGGGAAGAAGGTAGCAAAAAAGATCAGAGGACTACCTGCCAAAACATGAATGTGCAAGAAATTTTCATTGTTTTTGGAGACAATGTGGGTAGCATGCTCCAACTTTGTGTACAATCGCGGTGTCAAGAGGTGCATGTGTGTGTTGGAAGCAGCAGTCCAGCTAGAATGCATTCAAATAGCTGTACTGAGGTTACATGCCTGTGGCTGGGGGGGACGTGCCATTTACTAATCCAGCTCTTGGCTGGATTACCTTTGAAAAATAAGAAATTGATTCCTCTTCCACGTGTGAAAAGCTTTTGGCCCTCTTGAGTCCAGTTTAAAGTTGCATCTGGGCTGAAGAGAAAGAGGGTAATGAAGCCTTCACATCCTGTCAGGCTTCCTGCAGGCTTGATCAGAGAGGAGAAAGCCCTTTGCCAGGAGCTTTCTGGAGGGATAAAGTGGCTGGAGCCACCTCCCTGTGTGTTTCTGAGACGTGCTGGGGTACATTTCTAGAGCTACATGCCAGGTTTTGGTCCCACTGAGTACCATTAGAAATGACACCTGCAGTGACACCTGGAAACAAGCTCACTTTTCTCAGTCCTTCAGCCCAGCTCTGAGACAAATGTTCTCTCTCCTTTCCATCCTCCATAGATTTCAAAAGTTGTTGGTGGAGTGAAATCAGAACCCAGTGCTCAAGTGCCAAACTGAGGTGTTTTGCCATGAGATTTTTCTTTTTTTGTCTTGATAGACGTACAGAAGCCTATACATTTAGGACAGAAGTGAAGGAATTGATATTATGAATTCTGATATCTGCTGGGGCAATGTTCTCTTGCACATCTATTCTCTCCGTTAAGCTTTCTGAACAATACATTCTCCTTCTCTGTGGGATGTTCAGTTTCCATTTATGTCCCCAAGGATTTTTACATTAGGGGAACTGAGCAGTTGAGATATGTTTTAGCAAAGGAATTGTAACACAGTGAGTGAATTAAAATTAAAAAAAAAAAAAAAAGAAGATTAAAAGAAATCTTTCTTCCTCTTTGTAAGGAGCTCTGTTTTATTTCAGCTCTCTTTTCTCACCGTCTCAGTTCTGTATGTGTATGGTTAATTTTTCCTTTGTGCCATTTAGAACGAAGTTTCCAGTAGAAAGAGAAAAATGTAAGTAAAAACATAATTAAGTGGGCTTACCCAAACCCCAGTATGAATTGAAACTCATCCCTTTTCCAAATCTGTCACTTCTTCTTCCTTAACATAAATTATGCATTCAGTAATTCACTTACTTTCGCACTCCCATTTCTCCCAAGTTGTTGATGTAGCTCCAAACTTTTGAAATCCGGGTCATAATATTTCTTACTTTGCTCCAAATACTTGTAGTTTCTAGTTTCTGCTGGCACAGATGGATGTGGTGCAAGCAAAGTACTCCTGCTCAGTAGAATCTGATGGTGGTCCTGTCCCACTGATGGCCATGAAGGGAGTAGCCCTTGAGGGGTGCTGTAACCTGCTCTGAACATACTTAGGTGCCTTCCAGCTGTCTGTTTATATCCTGCCATGTTTACCAGTACCCTGAGAGACTATTTCTTATCCTGGGTGTTAATAGTCCTTTGATTTTTTTCCTAGCTTTATGCAGAAGGAGATCTTTTTTCAACATTTTGGCATTTGAAGAAGTATGTTTTCTGCTTTTCTACAATTCTTGAAAGGATGACAGCTGTAAAAGGGCTTTTTTAAAGAAATGGTTTGTTCAGTTTAAGTTCAAAGATATTTGTTTTCAAACTTGTAAGAAGTGAAATCTAAAACTGAGATATGGTTTTGAGTGATGCAGAAATACTGAAAGATAGACTTAACAATTTGGGAATTGAATGTGCATTAACTAATTGTATTGCATTTTTTTCTCCTTTGGATGCTGACTCAGACCATTGTATCAAGAGATTTCAAATCCACTTCCACATGAAAAATTTGTTGCTTGATATCTATTAACTCCCAAGCACTGAGAAGAGTTTGTGACTTATAGCTTCATTAATTACCAGTCTGCCTTTGAAATCTGTACATTTGGACACACTTTTAAAGTTCACAAAATTTGTATTGTTGAACTGTTTTTCTCCAGGTTTGAGACAGGTTTTTTTTTAGGTGTAATTAATTGTGTTCTGAGGGTGCGGTGCTCATAATACCATGAGCATGGGACCTGGTAATGAAGAAGCTAAGCATCAAATATTGAAGCTTGAAAAAGAATTATAAAATACAGCAGTCCTTACAATACTTTACATATTACATAAGCCAAACTTTACATGTGACATCACATCGAACAAATTGCTTAGTAATATGTAGCTTGTCATACGTTCGCTTTTCTAAAACTTTTGAAAAGGTGACCTATTTTATGGTTTCTGGTTTTATAGTGCTTAGAAGTTGGTGTTGTCCTAAGACAGGGCACCAGGCCACTTTCTGCAGAAGAAGAAGAACAAAAAGTGTCCCAAAGATTTTAATATCCAGTCTTTTTGATGTAAGGCTCTGCCACCCAGGTTGTCTCCTTTCTGTGTGAGCTTTGGTGACAAGTGAATAGATCATGCAAAGCATGTGTCTAGTGAATGTATCTATCTTCCTTTTCAGATTGCAGAAAATTCAAACATGGGCTTATTCTTACCATTTCATTTTTTTTCTTTTTAAATTATTTACTATATTGAAAAAAAGAAAACAGAAGTTTATTACAGATATTTGGTATTCAAAATCTGTACTCAGGATAGTGTTATGACAAAAATTTGGAATCCAATGGAGGGAGATAGTCTACTACTTTCTAAAACTGTTGATTCATGCTTATATAATTCTTTGCTTTATAAACTACTACTTAGGGCATTGATGACATACTTGAACTACAAGAATTCTAAAATTAAAATCTGGCTTATTGGCTAGATACAGAATGTGAACCATCATCTTCTTTCTAGTGGTTGCTCGTAACAGAAGCTTGGAGAATAAGTATGAATGAAACAGGCTGCATGTAGAGTGAGCATTTCCTACGTATATTCTGCTAGTTCTGCCTTCCATAGCCTTGGCTTTATTTACAGCCTTGGATAAGAATTTCAGCTGTGCTGTTTTTTAATCTGTAAATTAAAAAATGACCCTCAAATGCATGAAGCAGGTGGTATGAAATCTATGGATAAAATGCTTTGGAAGTAGAACTGTTACTGCAGGTAGGTCAGGTAGGGTGATGTTTAATGTTGTCTTTTATCTGCAATTCAATTTTCCCTCGAAGATTCCTATTTCCTGAAATATGGATGGTTTACTTTATTTATTCATACCTTGCAAATTTGGCTGCCTGTGATTAAGCCAAGTGTTTCCTTGAGGATTTATAAGGCATTTCTAAGTCTTAATAAAATATTTTCTATTAGCTTTTGAATTGACATCCAGTAAATCACAGAGGAGCTATGACAAATGTGTCTGGCACAGGGGTCTTCTGTGTGTACTGAAAATCGTGTTTAAAACTTCAGAAGGAAGGAAAGAGGGCAGTCAGCACAAAGCAAAGCATTCAGTGAAAATATGTCTGTGCTCCTGAGCCAAACTGAGGTTTGTGTCTTGTTATGACCCCTGCCATGTAATAATTTTGTGAAAAGTAATGAGATTAACAGGCTTTTATTTTCTCAAAGGTAGAAGTATCATTCATGTTTTGTCTAAGTACCAGGTAATGTGTTAGTAAGCATTGTAATGTTATTATTATTGATGTAAAATTGCTCTCTGGAGACTTAAAAAACTTTTTTGTTTAATTAAAAAAAATAAAAGGAAAAATTTGCATTAGCAGTCATTGTGGTTTATTTTACGCAAAGAAACTATAATTAAAGTATGATTTTTGCTATAACATTGACCATAGGGGACAATCATGATTAAGGTGGAACTGACTGGTAGAAATATCTTTGGTCAGGATATTTTTATGGTTTTATACTGAAAATCTTTAAGCAATGTTCATAAATTCACCTGCTATCTGTAAATATATTTTGTCTTTTAGGGCACACAGGACGATTACTGAAATCTCTGTGTTTCACCAGTCTGTCATTTCTGCTGCTGCACATCATCTTTCAGATTACAATAAACAGTCTCGAAGCTGCAAAAAGTATTGAACCTGGTTTTAACTGTGAGTAAAACATTTTAGTTTTTCTTAGAATTTTAAATGTCCAAATGCTTTTGTGGTTTGAAAGGGGAAGGGTTGATAAGAAGGCACTTAGCTTTGTGCTCCTGTGGGTTTGCAGCTTGCTCTTGTTTTCCAGCTTTTTATCTTAAAAATTACTGTTAGTAAGGCAGGAAGACTAGAGGGGCTTAAAAAACAAAATAAATTGATACTTAACTACATATATATATATATATATATATATATATATATATACAGACACACACATATATATATGTGCATATATATATATATATATGAAATTATAAACTATTCTTTTCCCACCAGAGATGCATTTTCTTTGAGTTTCCCACTGACTATTGTTATGTCTTCATCTTTTATGCTTTCTGAAAATCACCTCAGGACCTGAGGAAACTACTCATTTGTATCATTAGATCATAATTCAGTGAATTAAGAATAAAATGAAATAAAGTAACAAACTTCCCTCTGTCTATGTATTAGGAATAACTCTCTTTAATTTTTCTTTTAATTTAGGTATTGATTCCAAAACTTATATTTTTAAACCTTATTGATCTCTTTCTTGTCTGTGTTATATGGGAGGCAGAATTTTCAAGTTTTCATTTGTGTGTAAGCTCTACTTAAAATATATTGCATGACATTTTGTATCTTCCTCTCTCAGGAAATGTTCAATAATTTAGAAAGCAAACATTCTTTATTGTGCTGAAGTTAATTAGCATATCTATCCAGTGATTTAGATATGCAACCTCCAGGTAGAAGCTATTTGTACTTGTCTTACCGTGCTTACATTTAACATTTAAACCTGTCAACTTACTTTTGATAAATGTCCATTTAATTTATGACAAGGTATGCTGCTGCCACTTGAGTAAACAGTTGTATTACAATTCAGCACAAGAAACCTTATATTATGTAAAGGATTTGACTTAATAAAATCCTAAGAAAACTTGAAGTGAGCATTACCATTTCACCTTTAGCTTAAACCATTTCCTAAAGTAAAAGGCATAATTTTGTTCATTAAATACCTGTTTCATCTGGAATATCTTGGGCTCTTTTGGTTCAAATCAGGCCTTCAGAGTCTAAAAAAATACTTCCTATTTTTTTTCAAAAATGTATATCATTCACTGAATGAGCTGGATAATTTTTTTTCCATATGAGTTTAATGTTCTTATGAATATAATATAATATAATATAATATAATATAATATAATATAATATAAAACTATAATCTAATTTTTACTTAGATTGGAGTAATTGCATCGTCTAGACACTATTTGTATGATTAGAGAGTTCTAAGACAGAGTTGCAACCACTGGCTTTTTCCTACTTTTATGGTGGGTGCAGTGGGAATTAAAATAATTATTTCATCCTGAAGAGCACACTCTTCAAGATGAAATGCATAATTTTTTACTGTTTATTCAGAGTTGTCGAGTGAGCAGCTCCTCTTTCAGCTGCCATTGGTAATGATCTCACTTGGGGCTTCACAGGGCAGTGGGTGTAGCTGCAGGAGTGCATTAAATGTTATCAGATTGCTCTCTGACACTAAGGCCACTTGACATTCCCACACATTCACCATTAAGCTCTTTTTTGCCTCCTAAGTGCAAAGGGTGGTTTGAAATTGTCTGCTGGGAATGTTATTGGTCCCAGAAGAACACCCAAACTGTGCCCAAGTTGTCTGGGAGAGAAGTTCATTGATCAAAGTTGTTCCAAGAGTTTTTAAACTGTTTAGCAACATGAAATATTCGGCTGTTGAATTTCAGTGTCTGCATACAGAGTACACTGGCACCATTTTGTTTACTGGTATGGTTATAATCAATGAGATCCAGGTGAAGCCAATAAAAAGGGCAATCTGATACTGGCATTGCTGGACCCCCAAGGTGCTGAAGGAGAAATTAAAGACTGTTTTGAGTGTAGGGTCTAGAAAAGCAGAGCATTTGCTCGGTCAGGGAATAAGGTCAATTATCATCATTTAATGACACCAGAACTTAGACGTTGCTTTGTGGGAGAGGAGATGACAGAATTCCCGCTCCAGAAATCACCTTGGTACTACTTTTGCTTGTAACAATTGGGTGACACAGCCCCACTGGTTTCCTGTTCCCCAGCCATATGAGGAGTGCTGTACAAAACTGACTCCAGATGTGGGCTAAGACATAGCTGGAGAAATGACAGCACTTTGCTCATGGCGTCTGCACAGTTATGAGCTCTGCATTTTAGACTTGCTGTTAATGTTTATCCAACTCTCTTTGCTCAATAAGAAGCTCAGAAGTGTAGACTGGAAGATTGATGTGTTCTGTTTCTCTATCCAGACCCAAATCCACTATTAATAAAACATTTTTTACAGCTACAGTCCTTTCTGATGCTTATCATTGGGAAATTTTTCTTCCATTAGTCAAAATATTCTGTCTTCATCCTTCAGCCTGAAGTAGAAATAAAGAAAAACTTTCCATTAGTCTTTATGGTTACCCATTTTGTATTTGAAGGCTGCAGTCATATTTGTAGTATGTACTTTTTTCTCTCAATCTCTTCTATTTACACAACCTCAGCCCCTTCAAACTTTCTTCACGCATCATATTTTCCAGGAAGATTATTCTTATTGTTGTTCGTCTGCTTCTGTTTTCTCCAAGTTTTTCAGGTATTTCTTGAGGCTCAAAGCTAGGCACTACTTCAGCTGAAAATTTAGTAGCATATACTGAAATATAACAATTACCCAAGTGACTGCAAATCATACTCCCTATTTATGAATTACTGTATGGTACTTTTTGCAATGGTCTTACACTTTCATTTGTGATTCACTGAAACCCATGAATCCTTTTCTTCAAAATAAGACCTTTTTTTCAATCTCCTGTTTATGTAGGTGAGTATTCTTCCAGTATAGTGGAAGTTCATGTTTGCCCATTCTTTTTCCATAAAGTTTTATTTAGCAAGACTCTTTCATTTCCTTGATTGGTAGTGGGTTCTCTTACAGGGCCCTTCTGCAGTAACACCTTTAGGGTGTTTTGGATAAATAAATTTTCAGTTTTCATTTAAATTTAAGATTTGTTTTGATTTTGCTGGAATTGTAGTATGTCTCCAAGTTTAAGTAAATTAAACCATAAAAGGTGCTAGTGGATTTTATGGCAGGTCCCCTCTTAATTATCTGCCAAAGGTCAAGGTAGTCTGGGGAGGTCCTTGCTGACTGGAAGCCAGACTGTGTTATTCCAATTTACAAAAAGGCCATGAAGGAAGATCCATGTTATTTTAACCTCAGTTCCTGAAAAGAAGTATGAAAAGGATTCTATTAGATACAAGTTCATAAAGGGAAACTCCTGTTTACCTAATTTGATATCCTTTTATAGTATTCATCCTGCCCAGTGGATGAAGGGAATGTGGTGGATATATTTTTCCTGGATTTTAGTGAGGCTTTTGATACTGTCCTCCTGGAAAAATTGTTCAGTAGGTTCAAGGTGTACTTGGTTGATGAACTGGCTGAAGGGCAGGGCTTGAAGGGTTGTGGTGAATGGCACCACATGACCCACAGGGCTCAATTCTAGGGCCAGTCCTGTTTTAAATGTATTTATCACTGACCTGGATGCAGGAGTTGAATGCACCATTAGGAAGTCTGAAGCCAACAGTAATCAAAGTGGGGGGTGTTTGGGATGAGATGTCTTGCGGAGGCCTTTGTGTAGTTAATCTAACTCCTGGAAATTTCAGAAATAGGTGAGAGGGCAGGATAACATTGTCTGCAAATTCTGTAGGTTAGTTTGTATCAATATTTTCAAATGCCAATTTTCTGAATCAAAATATTATTTTCTGGTTTTAGTTTTTCTTTTCACACTGCTGTATTAAAGCCTTTGGTAATATATTCGTTTTGATAAGAGAAACACTAAAAAATGTTTAAATCAGAGTTATGATAGAGACTATCACCTCTTAAACCTTATGTAGTTATAGTTTCATTTTGGAATAATGGAATAAATAACAACCATCCTTTTATAATTTATATCTAGAAGCAGTTTAATTTGGTCCATCTGCAAACATGAACCAGACATACAGAATTTCAGGTCCATTTCAAAATATTCTGCTATTTTCCTGGACTTATGTAATTCAAAATCAGTTTAGGATAATTCCTAGAATGTTTAACTTCTTTGGTTTGTTGTCTTTTTCATCCTCTTCTTCTTTTAGAGTTCATACCCCTTCTCTTTCAGGATGGCCACAAAATGCTACAGCATTCTCTCTCTAAATTATGTTGGTCTGTTGATAGAGGTGTTTAAAAATGTTTGACCAACAGAAAGTTCTTGTTTCTAAAGAGCCTTATGACTATTGCATAGCACTAATAAAATTTTGCTGTTAGTAGTCTTTATTAGGTTAATAAAAGATTTCTGGTTAGCCACAACTTCAGTGTGTGGAACTAACATTGAATGCCTCCCAGATATAGAAAGGAAAATAATTAATGCAGAAAGGGTGTTCTGGGCTAATCTTAAGCCATCAAGAGCTACATAATTAGTCTTGTTGCACTGATATCTCCATATAATAGACAGTATGATTTTGAAATATAGCAATATTCATGTAGTAATAGAATTTCATTATTAAGCTTGTATTTCTGATGGAATAAAATTCTGACTATTAGATTAGCTATAATTTTCTGAGTATAGAATCTGTTAGGATTGAAGATTAGATGACAAGGTAATAGTTGCATTCTCCAGTATGCACAGTATGGTTCTTTCCTAGGACTAGCTTTAAACATCTTTAAAAATGGAAATACCACTAGCAGGAATGTTTTACACAATGTTAATTTTAAACTTTACTTCCAATAAATCAGTGCAATTATTCCTCATCGTAACAGTCTGTAAGTGTACACACTGTAAGTGTATCTTCTTGTGTTTAGTCAGCCTTTAAAATAAGTCTGGTTTCTTTTTCCCTTAATTGTAGTGATGTACATCCATTTCTTATTTTGTGCTCCTCTATCATCTTTTGGTGTTGACTTCTGTGAATGAATCTACTGACGTGCATATTCT